TTGCATCTCTTCAAAGTAAATGTAAAGAATCACAAAGAATCAGCATTTTGCTGTCACTTTGGTCAATGGTAAGGGTTCTCACCAGTTACAGAGAATCAAGTCCTGGATCTCAAATTCGAATTGCTCATGGCTTGATTTAGTATAACAACTTCATCTTTCTAAGTGAAAATAAAAAGTCAAAACTGAAAAATAGACTAATAGCATACTAACAGTGCATATTTGACCCACTAGCAAAAATGCATATGGTAGAACCCACACTTGTCACTAGCAGTGGTAGGAGGAGCTGAGAAATGTTTGCAAATTCATATCTATGCTTTCGTGGGAACTATGGAAATTATAAGTCTGAAAAAAGAGGTTGAAAATCTTTTAATAATCTAAATTATTTTGTGATTCCTTGGATTTCATCCAAGGACACATGGAAAAGAAAATTCAGTAGAGATTTACTAGCATTATCATAAGTCAGTTCTTGATTTTTCTGGCTGAAATGTTGCATACTGTGCACATGCAGTAGGTTTTGTGATTGACTGGGACAGTAATACTAGCTGAAAATATTATTTCAGTATTTTCAGGGTCTTGACTTTACACTAACAAAGTTAATTGAAGTGTCATTAGTCACTTGAAATAGTGTTGCAATGACCATATAAATCCTGAAATTTTACAGTGTATTAAATAGGTACTTCCAGATTTTTGTTTTTACAGTGCAGTATTTTCAAAAGGTGGTAAATCTAACTTGAATTGTCCATTTCAGCTGGAAACAAAGCACAAAATTCTAAAACTAAGTCAATGAAATATTTTGCTTGATAAGCAAAAATCAGTATTCATTAAAAACTGATGCTGTTAGAGATAATTCGGAAAGAAACACGGGAAAAACCTACTTCAGAAAAATTTTTTGTGTGTCTACAAATATGAAGACACTTGAGCATGAATTATACATTACTTCTTTATTATTCCTTTATTTGTTATTATTGCTATTTAACCAGTCCTTTTGGTCTTCTTTTCATTTAGTGAATGAGAAAAAGCTTATTCTGTTGAATCACTTCTTGCAAGGCAGTCTCAGATGGCCTTAGAAAGCAACAGATAGTTCACTGAATGCTGTAAATTCCAATGAAGGTTTTAATCTAAGTTACTGCATTTTTAAAAGGTGATAACAAATAACTTGCTTCTTAAAGTGTATTTCTTTCTCTGAGTCAAAAGAAACTGGTTCCAGACATCAAAACATAGATTGCTAATTTGTTTTGTCTTTCTCATCAGATATGTCAAATGTCGCAGTCCCTTTTCTTGGATCTCAAAGGAAGTGTCAGAAAAAAATGTCAAAGGAAGTTTATACTATGTAATTGTTTTTTAACTTTGTAGAAAGCTTCTAATTCAACGATGCTCAGCTTGAATTTAAACATAGTTTATACACTAGCCAGTCCAGCCCACTTTCAAGCCAGGTTTGATGACAAGATTGCCCTGTGCACTGTTATTTCTTTTATACCATGGACTGGCTACAATTTTTCTTTCTTTGCTCTTTTCCTCGCCTCATTTAAAAAAAAATGTATTTTTCATTATTAACAGCAGTGAAAACAGGCTTAATTTCATCTCTGGGTCCCTCACAGAGTAATTTATCTGAGCAGCACTGCCTGCTATCCTTCCTGATATTAGTAATTTCTTTCACAACAGAATCAAACTAAACTCCTTGTCCATTATTGCTGGATTGTATTTTACCCCTCAGTCAGGTGAAATACCTAGTCCTGCTAAACAATGAGATGTAATTAAAGCTTCCAATTCTTCTACTTTGTCATGGGGACCTAATTTATTCTCTAGGACTATTTCTGGATCTCTCCTAAGCAAGTAAAGGCAAACTTTATGAAATGAATGTACTATCATTATGTCAGTTTGTAACACACTCAGAATGTTAGGTCCATAACCTCAGGATAATGAACTGTTAAAAAAAAAACATTAAGGAGTGAATCTGGAATTAATCTATCTCTATCAATTTCTATAAATGTAATAACTACCCATAATGCCCAATCTTGAGTGAATATATTTTATGCATATGGCCAGGAAAAAAAAAAAATCAATCACTGTAAGTGAAAATATGAACTCAGACATTGATCTAAGTTCCAATTGCATCTTAATCTAAAGCTATTTCATTGAATGTCACCAGTTGTGGTATTTTCCTTTTACATATATCTATGTTTATAAACACTAGGATTCTGCTAATCATATCGCATACTATCCGCCTGCAGAGTTAGTTAGGCAGTTATGTTAAAACAAATACGGTCTAGTGTTCAGATTTTACTTGGACCAAATGCAAAAAAGAGAAGAGACTTCTCTAGAGCCCCATTTCATGCAATAACTTTCCTGTCCAAAACCTGCATTCCTAAACTAACAGAGCAGAAGACTTTATTGCTGACAGTATTAAAATCTGGTACAGATAATCAGTCAATTGGAGTTAAAGGGAACACAGACAGATACGATGTAGCTGATTCACTTGGAACATGTGACTTCTAAGAGGAAACTGTTACAACCAAAATCAGGTTGGCTTCCCAGCGCTCACCGGGAGAAACTGGGTTTGGTTGTAAAGGTTCCACAGAATATGAATTTTTAGCTGGACATCAGGTTTTTTCCAAATGCCTAGTTCTGAAAAGTCTTCACAGGTTTATTTTAAAATTTTAACTTTAACTTCTTGTAGTCATGGCTTATCTGCAAACATAAAAGTAGGAAAACCAGACTTGGGTTAGTAAGACTAGCTCAGCAACATTCATTTTCAGGGATAAGGAGATAATCCCTACTCTGTGAGGTGATAAATTAGTTGATAATTCACTGACTGGAAATTCAAGGAATCAAGAATGACCAGGAGGAAAGACTTTTGAGAAGTTAAATGTTACAATTTATACACATGGAATAGTAGCTAGTTTGTTTTTCTTTATTTAATTTCTTATTTTTTTTACAGCAAACCCAAGGAATTTTATTATAAAGAGAGGAAACTAACCAGGAAAAACCACAGTGTTTGTTTCTGTGAAGTGTTATATAGCTATTGATTATATGAAACAGATGATATAGAAAATTGGCATGGTTTACCCAACTTCACCGAATGCATTTTGCTTTCAGGTGTGATTGCTGTTGCATTAATCCTACTCTGAAGCTATGTTCTAACATGGTTTTGTTTTCAAGTCTTGTCTACAAACACTTAGGAACATCTACATTCATGCTCATTGTTGGTATAAGCAGACCATTGTCATTTTTCCTTTCATGTTTTCTATACTGATGAGGCCATGGAGGTTATACAAGTAGTAGGAACCATCTTATTGTGGGGTTACTATAATGATGGGTGATGCTTCTAACATTGCCTGTGTAGATGCAGCCAAGGTGAAGACAGACAGTTCAGGAATGAGGCCCTTAAAAGTCTCTAAAAGGTAACTAGTAAATGTTTGACTAGGACAAATACTTGACTGGGAGGAAAAACAATGGTCTTTCAGTGAAGTAACCTGGTCTAAGATCCCTGCATAGTCAAGGGAAAGATTCTTCCACTATACCTTAAAAGATTGGAGTAGTTAATGATGGTTTCTGGTCCAAACTAGTTTTGAGCTAACTTGCATTAGCATTGTAAAAGCTTCAACACGGTTCTAGGCTGATGCTCAAACCAGGAGAAACTCAGTGGCTTTTAGTGGAATTTAGTGGAATTTTCTTCACATTTCCAACACAAAGCTATACAAGTAAAATCCCATTTATCAGGTCAGTATCACAAAGTGCCAGGGTTCAGACCATTGGGGACACATCAATATTTAAGATAAACATAAGGAAAAGCTCACAGAAATCCCAAGAAAGTCAATTAGTATACCTGTGCTTCCTTATTATCAAACACCTTTGCAACTTCCTCCTTCTTCATGTTCCATCTTTCTTTGTAGATTTGACTTCTCTCTGTTCTTCTCTCTGCTTTTTTTTTCTTTTATCTGGTACCTAACAAGTGCACTATAAATATATATTGCCACATATATTTGCAGTCTTACTTGTGTTTCTGTCATCTTGAACAGCCTATTTTTTCTGTCTTAGCCTTGCTATCTTTCTGTCTCTTTAGATTCACTCATGGCATTTGGTAATTTTCTCTCCCTCTAATTATTGACTAGTTTAATAGTCTTACCACACCATACCATTACAAGCTTTTCTATAATAGATACCATATACTATTCATTTTTATTACTGAATTTGACATAATACTTATAATACAGATTTTATGATACTGTTTATACAAAAGAAAGTAGCCTGTTTCAGAATCATATATACAGAATATATCTATATATGAAGAAGACACCACTGAAGCCCCCGTTCCTTCAGAAAGCTTCTGAATTAACTGAAATCCTTACTAGGGAGATTTTGAAGAAAAGGTCCAAAAGAGGTCTCCCATGATACCAGCTCCATTCTGCTCCTGCTGCAGGTTACATTTTCATATAATGTTCTTAATAAATTTAAAAAGAGTTGTCTTGAAACTAGTTCTTCTTTCAGCATTCTTCTCCCATCCTCCAATAAACCTGCTAGTACACTGATAATTTTAAAAGGCAAATGTTGGGAGGTCAGATGTGTATTTTTTAGATACAGAAATAAACATAAAATCATACATTTCCAGAACTTCTGCCATTTCTTTTCAGTCTTGCACTTACTGCTTTGCACACAATACCATCTTTCCCT